AAGGTGAGATATAGTCTGCCCTTGGGTTTCCAAATGGTTTTTTATGTACCTGAAGCTCCCTTCTTCTTTTTCTGTAAAGCCCAGGCTATAGGAATAGCAAATAAAAACAGACGTCAATAAAAAGGACCATGAATAGAAAAATCTCTTTGGAGGGGGAAATGTTTCCCACCCCTGAAATTCATTTAAAAAATTATAATGATGTCTAATATTTATTAAGTACCTACCATGACCCAAGAACTGTTCAAAGGAATGTTCAAAGCACTTTACATATGTTAGGTAATGTAATATTCACAACAACCTTATGAGATGCGTACTATGATTAACCCTAGTTTGGAAACCAAGGTGAGAAGGTTCAGCAAATGCATTGTTCCAAATCTTTCTTTTTTTCACCTCACTATATATCTTGGAGATAATTGCATAGCATCTATAGATCTCTCTCATTGAAAGTTGTAGAAGGATTTAAACTGGTGGCCCATGTGGAACAGAACAAAGAGAACAGAGAAAGCCAAACCAATTGAGTGGCTTGTTCAATAATTCTGATTATTTTTATGCATTCATTCATCAAATATTTATTTAAGTTTTTGCTGGGCTCTGTGATATCAAATCACATAAGAAATGGTCCTTGCTTTCAAAGAGCTCAAGGGAGCTAAGACAAGTAAACAAATAAATAATCATGCAATGTGACAAAATGTTGTAACTGGGGTGAAGTGACAAGTGTCTGGGCTGGGAAAGCTCCCTGAGATAAAAAATGAGACGGCTAGAATACTTTTTCTTTAGAAAAATGTCAGCAGGTATAGTCTGATAAAGGGCAGCTGCAGGTCCTCCTGACAGGGTGACTCACACATTTTTCATTTGTCCTGTACCCTCTCATCTGCCCGGTCTCCCCCACCCAGCCCCATGCACACGAGGACAAGGCTGAGAAGGGGCTCATGATGGAATTGTGGCTTCTCACCTTTGCATCTCTAACTCCTGCCTGGCTGTAGCACAAACGGTGAGCAAATTCTTGATTATGCACGAAGATGAGCTTCTGATTCATTTTTGATGTTCAGTGTTATGAGGCAAACTCCCTGGCCATCTGTTCAAAGGAGGAACATGTTACATATTTGGATTATTTTATTTTTATCTTAATCAAGTGGCAACTTTCCATCTTGATGCATCTTAACCTGAGCAGTTGTGGTTGGAAAGCAATGGGCTTGAACAGACTGGTGAGCGAGGGGGAGAAGGATATGCCACCTGGTGCAAAGCTGGAGTCAGATGCAGGAGCAGAGTCTCCTGTGCACGGCCCTTCATCTCTCTAATTAGGAGAGAAATTGCAAGCCCTCCAGTGGGCACCAAAATGCTTAGAGGGCACAAGTCGGGCTGAGGGACCCCTCCCCCCAGTGCACAAATGTCATGCACCGGGCCTCTAGTTTCTTATAATGGGCAAGGCCCCTAGTTTAAATTCTTTAAGGGAGAGGTAAAAGTTTCTCATGAGCCTGCAGGGTCTTGCTTATCTTCAGCTCAAAATAATTCACATGCTAAAATGGCACTTTTGGGGGAGGGGCTCGTTACACAAATGGGGACCAAAGACCAAACCGGTTAGGATCTGTTGGTTCCAGCCTTGGGGAGTCTGGGCTGGGGGTGAGGGTCATGAACAGCCTCCTGAAATGGTTAAAGGCAACTGAGCTGAGGGGAGGTAGCTGCAGCTTTCTTGTTAGAAGCAGCCAAAGTACTTTAGCCTGTTTACTGACAGGAGATTTAAGCTTTTCCAGCCATTGGCATTTGATGGAAATGTGCAACTATGTTCTAGGAGCTGGCTCTAGGACCTCACAGAATTGGTGAGATGGATTAGAGAGAAATTATCTAGCTATTCATCTTACTTTGGGTTTTCCTGAAAGAGGATCCTGAAACAAAGGTTGGAGAGCAGTTAGTTTATCTGCAGGTGATCCAAGGAAAAGGAGACAGGGAAGGAGGAAAAGTCAGTAGGGAGCTGGTTGCCACAGTGGGCAACTGAGCTCCATCCAGATGAGGCCCCTTCAGAATTGCCCTCTGGCGGGGAGGCTGGTGTGTTTATTCACTGACTTCTAACCGTGTTGGTTGAGGGTTACCCTCAAGGGTGTTAATCCCTTACCTTCAGACTGCTCTTAACTGAGATCTAGAATAAAAGCCCTCAGGTAGACAAGCAGAGAGACAAGGAGGGTGCTCAGTTCGGTTCCCTGGACCATGCATGGGAACCGTCTGTCCCAGCCACAGCTGAGACCCAGGTGGGCTGCAGGAAAGAGGGGTGGGGCACAGATAGCATTCCCATGGCCCCTGGAGGAAGGAAGTGGGGAGGGAAGAAGAAATAGCACATACTTATCAAAAGTGACCAGTGTGTGAGTTTTGTGGGCTGGCAGGCACCGACCTCAGTCCCCAAGCTCAGATGGGTAAGAAATCTTAAATCCATTTTTAACCAATCAAATTGGTAAGGATGTTTAAAAATGGAACTAGTAATTCTGGGGAGCCTATGGTGAGACAGCCACCTACATAAAGTATTGATGAAAGTGCAAATCAGTACAACCCTTTTGGAAAACAATGTACAAAATTATTAAGAGAATTTAAAATGCCCTGAAAACCATTCTATGGATATAATCAAGTATAGGGGTTCAGAACAGGCCTCCCCCAAAAGTGCCATTTTGGCATGTGAATTATTTTGACCTGAAGATAAGCAAGACCCTGCAGGCTCATGAGAAACTTTTACCTCTCCCTTAAAGAATTTAAACTAGGGGCCTTGCCCATTATAAGAAACTAGAGGCCCAGTGCACGACATTTGTGCAGTGGGGGGGGGGTCGCTCAGCCCGACTTGTGCCTTCTTGCTGTCCGGGACCCCTGGGGAGCGGGCCTAAGCCGGCTGGTGGACATCCCCCGATGGGTCCTTAGTGCTGCCTCAGAGGCAGGAGAGGCTCCCGCTACCACTGCTGAGCTCATCAGCCATGAGCCCAGCTTCTGGCTGAGCAGCACTCCCCCTGTGGGAGCACACTGACCACCAGGGGGAAGCTCCTGCGTTGAGCGTCTTTCCCCTGGTGGTCAATGTGCATCATAGCGACTGGTCGTTCCCCGGTTCTGTCTATTTGTATATTAGCCTTTTATTATGTAGGACTAGAGGCCCAATGCACTAAATTTGTGCAGTCCCTGCCACCATGGCCAAGGGCCTCTGCCGCCTCTGCCACGGCCCCCACCTGCTGCAGCTTTGTCTGGAAGGAAGGACGCCTGGAAGGACATCCGGTCTAATTAGCATATTATGCTTTTATTATTATAGATACCTTTCTTAAACTTATCTATATGGCAGGGAAAATTACTAATGACTGAAAATCTGCTTTTTTTTTTATTGTCCTGCAATGACCTGCCTTCCCTCTTTAAGGCCCAAGGCACCTCTCTCTCTCTCTCTCTCTCTCTCTCTCTCTCTCGTTTAATGTATTTTAATAGCAAACTTACAGGAACAGCACAGAAGACAGGCAACATTGAAAACATGTACTTGCATGTAGGACAACTAAGTTAGAAAAGTCTAGTGAGCGGATGGAATCGACTGTTTGATAAAAATGCTACAAACACCATTTAGTTGACATCAATAAGAAATTTACTTGTTTTTTAAAAAAAATCCAAATGCTGGCATTGTCCAGAAAAATTTAACAGCTTTATTTATATTGTTATAAAGTGGGACTGCTGAAACTTGTTCACTGAAACATTTGACTTGCATTAATGCTTTATGTCCCCGCATTTATATTAAAAACATTCAGACACAAACGAAAATGGAAAAACTGCCAATACCTGATTTCTGTCCCCTATTTTCAACTTGCAATCATATACTTAGGTACCTTTTGACCCCATGGGAAAAAAAATATCTAACATTCAGAACTACCAATAACAAGAAGAGAATTTTTTTTTTTAAGAATGAAACGTTTCCCATCACAGTGGATTCTTAAGCATGTTCTCTACATATGCGGCGTGCTAGCTGGATGTCTCCTGGCATAATTGTTACACGTTGTGCTCAGTTCGGTTCCCTGGACCATGCATGGGAACCGTCTGTCCCAGCCACAGCTGAGACCCAGGTGGGCTGCAGGAAAGAGGGGTGGGGCACAGATAGCATTCCCATGGCCCCTGGAGGAAGGAAGTGGGGAGGGAAGAAGAAATAGCACATACTTATCAAAAGTGACCAGTGTGTGAGTTTTGTGGGCTGGCAGGCACCGACCTCAGTCCCCAAGCTCAGATGGGTAAGAAATCTTAAATCCATTTTTAACCAATCAAATTGGTAAGGATGTTTAAAAATGGAACTAGTAATTCTGGGGAGCCTATGGTGAGACAGCCACCTACATAAAGTATTGATGAAAGTGCAAATCAGTACAACCCTTTTGGAAAACAATGTACAAAATTATTAAGAGAATTTAAAATGCCCTGAAAACCATTCTATGGATATAATCAAGTATAGGGGTTCAGAACAGGCCTCCCCCAAAAGTGCCATTTTGGCATGTGAATTATTTTGAGCTGAAGATAAGCAAGACCCTGCAGGCTCATGAGAAACTTTTACCTCTCCCTTAAAGAATTTAAACTAGGGGCCTTGCCCATTATAAGAAACTAGAGGCCCAGTGCACGCCATTTGTGCAGTGGGGGGGGGGGGGCGCTCAGCCCGGCCTGCCCCCTCTCGCAGTCCAGGAGCCCTCGGGGGATGTCCAACTCATTGTCCAGAAAAATTTAACAGCTTTATTTATATTGTTATAAAGTGGGACTGCTGAAACTTGTTCACTGAAACATTTGACTTGCATTAATGCTTTATGTCCCCGCATTTATATTAAAAACATTCAGACACAAACGAAAATGGAAAAACTGCCAATACCTGATTTCTGTCCCCTATTTTCAACTTGCAATCATATACTTAGGTACCTTTTGACCCCATGGGAAAAAAAATATCTAACATTCAGAACTACCAATAACAAGAAGAGAATTTTTTTTTTTAAGAATGAAACGTTTTCCCATCACATGGATTCTTAAGCATGTTCTCTACATATGCGGCGTGCTAGCTGGATGTCTCCTGGCATAATTGTTACACGTTGGCATGGAGAGCACACAGTTGGTGTCTTCAGAAAGGCCTCCCTTGCCTCTTGCAAAGCACCAACAGCTGCCCTCTGGAAGCACAGATCTGTTTTGAAGTCCTGAGCAATTTCTCGCACCAGACGCTGGAAGGGAAGTTTGCGAATCAGAAGTTCAGCGGACTTCTGATAACGTCTAATTTCACGAAGTGCCCCAGTGCCAGGCCTGTAACGATGACGTTTCGTCACCCGTCCAGTAGAGGGCGCGCTCTTCCGGGCGGCTTTGGTAGCCAGTTGCTTTCTTGGTGCTTTACCACCCGTGGATTTGCGGATTTGCGGACAGTCTGTTTTGTAGGAGGCATGGTACAGAGACCTCTTTACTTACCCGCTTCTCCTTCGGCTGGCGAGCTGGAGGCGGCGCAGGCGTTAGCAATGGCGGCTGCTGCGAACATCTCCACCTCCTTTCTCTTATGCTAATTCTTCTTGGGACCATGTAAGATGACATCTTTTTCTCAACACCACTGTGAAGTCTCAGCAGGTCACAGGGCCAGGAGCAGAATCTAGTGTGGGTAACCCACTTAAGCTTTTTCTTCATGTCTTTCTCAGCCAGGGTCTGGTAAGTTTGAAGATACATAGGGAGGGGGGCACATTAGTGGTAAGTGAAGCAAAGCATCAGCATGAAGACAGCATTCGTTCATCTATTTATTCAGGAAACACACACAGGACACTGACTCTGCTCGGCCCTGCACCAGGGGAAGTCAAACTGCAAGAGATGCTATTCTTCCCTCCAAGAGGGAGCTCACAGCCCAGGCTTGGAGACACTGAAAGGCAAGAGAGTTCTGAGTCCAAGTGGGGACAACCTCATAAATTTGCCTCAGGAACCCTCAGCTGGATGGGGAGAAACAATTCCTGCCCCATCCCCCAGGGGGAGACCTTCTTTAGTGGTGAATACATAGTTCCCATCTCAGGAAGATTCCTTTCTGATGAGGGAGAGTGGGTACAGTCGGATAGGGGGTACAGTCCTTGGTCTCTGGGAATTCCCAGGCTGACCCAGCTCTTGCCCTAGGGGAGGATTGCAGTCTGATGGGGGATATACAGAGCCCATCCTCAGGGAGTTCCCAGTCACACAGGAGAGGCAGGCTGAGTATATTCACTCACTACAAAAGAGGAGGGACATGGGAAGACTTGCAGATCAAAACAGAACCCAAAGAGGCTAAAAGGGGGAGAGTGTTACGGACATCTGTAATAGTGTCAACAATAAAAAACAGAACCCACTTACTTTTTTATTGTATTTACTAGAGGCCCAGTGCACAAAATTCGTGCACTAGGGTGGGGGATCCCTCAGCCTGGCTGGCGCCCTCTCACAATCCAGGAGCCCTTGGGGGATGTCCGACTGCCAGCTTAGGCCCGCTCCTTAGCACTGCCATGGAGGCAGGAGAGGCTCCCGCTACCACTGCTGAGCTCATCAGCCATGAGTCCAGCTTCTGGCTGAGCAGCACTCCCCCTGTGGGAGCACACTGACCACCAGGGGGAAGCTCCTGCGTTGAGCGTCTTTCCCCTGGTGGTCAATGTGCATCATAGCGACTGGTCGTTCCCCGGTTCTGTCTATTTGTATATTAGCCTTTTATTATGTAGGACTAGAGGCCCAATGCACTAAATTTGTGCAGTCCCTGCCACCATGGCCAAGGGCCTCTGCCGCCTCTGCCACGGCCCCCACCTGCTGCAGCTTTGTCTGGAAGGAAGGACGTCTGGAAGGACATCCGGTCTAATTAGCATATTATGCTTTTATTATTATAGATACCTTTCTTAAACTTATCTATATGGCAGGGAAAATTACTAATGACTGAAAATCTGCTTTTTTTTTTATTGTCCTGCAATGACCTGCCTTCCCTCTTTAAGGCCCAAGGCACCTCTCTCTCTCTCTCTCTCTCTCTCTCTCTCGTTTAATGTATTTTAATAGCAAACTTACAGGAACAGCACAGAAGACAGGCAACATTGAAAACATGTACTTGCATGTAGGACAACTAAGTTAGAAAAGTCTAGTGAGCGGATGGAATCGACTGTTTGATAAAAATGCTACAAACACCATTTAGTTGACATCAATAAGAAATTTACTTGTTTTTTAAAAAAAATCCAAATGCTGGCATTGTCCAGAAAAATTTAACAGCTTTATTTATATTGTTATAAAGTGGGACTGCTGAAACTTGTTCACTGAAACATTTGACTTGCATTAATGCTTTATGTCCCCGCATTTATATTAAAAACATTCAGACACAAACGAAAATGGAAAAACTGCCAATACCTGATTTCTGTCCCCTATTTTCAACTTGCAATCATATACTTAGGTACCTTTTGACCCCATGGGAAAAAAATATCTAACATTCAGAACTACCAATAACAAGAAAGATAATTTTTTTTTAAAAGAATGAAACGTTTCCCATCATAGTGGATTCTTAAGCATGTTCTCCACATATGCGGCATGCTAGCTGGATGTCTCCTGGCATAATTGTTACACGTTGGCATGGAGAGCACACAGTTCGTGTCTTCAGACAGGCCTCCCTTGCCTCCTGCAAAGCACCAACAGCTGCCCTCTGGAAGCACAGATCTGTTTTGAAGTCCTGAGCAATTTCTCGCACCAGACGCTGGAAGGGAAGTTTTCGAATCAGAAGTTCAGCGGACTTCTGATAACGTCTAATTTCACGAAGTGCCCCAGTGCCAGGCCTGTAACGATGACGTTTCGTCACCCGTCCAGTAGAGGGCGCGCTCTTCCGGGCGGCTTTGGTAGCCAGTTGCTTTCTTGGTGCTTTACCACCTGTGGATTTGCGGATTTGCGGATAGTCTGTTTTGTAGGAGGCATGGTACAGAGACCTCTTTACTTACCCGCTTCTCCTTCGGCTGGCGAGCTGGAGGCAGCGCAGGCGTTAGCAATGGCGGCTGCTGCGAACATCTCCACCTCCTTTCTCTTATGCTAATTCTTCTTGGGACCATGTAAGATGACATCTTTTTCTCAACACCACTGTGAAGTCTCAGCAGCCAAGCGCTCTCTTTTTGAACATTGTAATCAGACACTGGTGCATCCGTCTTCTAGCTGCTTTTCCAGCAAAATCTGTCCCTGCTGATTGGAAGGAATCTTGCCTTTCATCGTTTTTATTGTATCCATGGGTTCAACGGTGGTCTTTCCCATTAGGCCTTTCATGGAAATCTGCATTTTGACAGCGGTTCGACCTTAGATAGCGAATCTGTAAGGGTCAGTTCTCATTAAAAGGTGCCCAGATTTAGCTTAGGCTGGGTTAAAACTGGGTTATGGAGGGTGAGGGTGGGGCGAGGAATAAGGAGTCTAGCATCGCAATCTTTAGCTCTGACCTAAAGACTCAGAGGAGCACTGGTTGCTACAACTGGACTATCCTGACCTAGTCACTTAGGTTGTTAAAGAAATTAATTGAAGCTGCTCTGAAATGAAGTGGAAGACTCCGAGAGAGCCTCCTTCTTGCCTACTGCTCACAGATTCTGCCAGTGATCCCAGGGATGGGGTGGAGAAAAAGGGAATGGAGTCTCTAGGACACTTGCAGGAATAGAGATTTTTCTATGGAACTAGAGAAGGAGGCACTTATCCCATCACTGGAATCCTGTATGGTCTTATTCTCTGTCTCATGCAGCATGAAAATGCTGAGCTATTTCAGGACCCTGTAACGATTTCCACAGACACATCTGATAAAGGTCTAGGACTCGTTTTTTTT